CTTTTTGAGACAGGGTCTCCCTGTAGCCCCAGCTGTCCTGGAACTCACTATGTAGACCAGGCTAGCCTTGAGCTCACAAAGATCCACCTGCCTCTGCCGCCCAAGCGCTGGGATTAAAGGTGTGTGCCACCACGCCTGGCTGCTTTATTTTTATATTCAATATTCATTCCAAGCTTTTACTACCCTGAAATAAAATTCATAGGGAGAACAACCCACCTAACCATGCCTTTTGTGTTTTGTTTGAGACAGGGTCTCATACAGCCCAGGCTGGCATCAAACTCACTATGCAGCTGAGAATGACCCTGAACTCTATCCTCCTGCCTCCATCTCCCAATTGCTAGGATCACAAGCCTGAACCACCATGTCTGGTGTATATGATACTGGGGATCCAACCCTAGGCTTTCTGCATGCTAAGCAAGCACTCTACTGAGATACATCCTGAGTCCCTCTCCCAGCAACTATTATTAGAAAGGACAAGAGGATAAGCCAACCATTTGTGATGTACTTAGAATAATCCAGCAGCGAGCCAACAATGACTCAGACCAAAGCAGCAGGAGCTGCAGAGAAGAGGTGGGTTCTGGGATAGTTTATACGTGGTTGAGATTTGTAAAAAGATTGGAGGGAGTGGAGAGAACAATAGGCATCAAGAACGATGCTGAGGTTTTGGTCGAAGTGACTCAGAAAGACATTAACAGTGATGGGGTTACCAAGAGGAGCCGGCTCGGGGTGAAGTGTAAGGATTTCGGGTTTGCATATAGACATCTGCCTACAGTATAGGATAGGAGAGGTCTGACCTGGAGATAGAAATTTAGGGTACATCGGGAGTGCTTGGGACAACAGAAAGCTATGAGATTTAAGGTATCTGACCATTTAAAATGAGCATTAGGAGATGGGCATGCTAGCACACTCCTCAAGTTCCTATACCATGTAGGTGGAGGCAGGAGGATCATGACTTCAAAGTCATCTTTGGCTACACAGCAAGGTCAAGGTGAGACTAGCCTGAGCTACATGAGACCACTTCAAAAGACAAAAATAAATAAATAGAGGCTCGAGAGATGGCTCAATGGTTAAGAGCACTGGCTGCTTTTGCAGAGGACCCAGTATTGACTTCCAACACCTACATGGCAGCTAACACCACCCGTAACTCCAGTTCCAGGGGAATCCAACACCCTCTTCTGATCTCCGTGGGCATTGCACAACACCAGTCCACTTACACACATGCAGGCAATACACTCATACACATAAAATAAATGATAAATAAAATATTTCAAAAAATAAAAACAAATAGAGCATTTGAAGCCAGGCATTGGGACTCATGCCTGCCTGTAATCCCAGCACTTGGGATGCAGAAGGATTGAATTTGAGACGAGACTGGACTACACAGTAAGATTCTGACTCAAAAATAAACAAGAAAACATTAGGTCTCGGGCTGACCTCAAGACTAAAGCCCCTTCCAAAGCCTGTTTGCTATTTCCTTGGGCATTCTGAGCTGTTCTGAACATGGATCACTCTGAACCATTCTTCTGCCATGCAGCAGAAATGGCGATGAAATCAGGCTAAGGCAGCAGGCCCTAGATTCATGTTCCAGTGTCACTGCACTATCTTCTTAATGTGACTGTTGAGGATTAAATGAGAAACTACATGGAAGAGTTGCTTGCACACAGAACATACTCAAGAAATGCAAATTAGGGGTTGGAGAGATGGCCCAGCGGTTAAGAGCACTGACTGGCAGCTCTTGCAGAGGGCCAGGTTAGGTTCCCAGCATCCACATGGTGGCTAACAGAGGTCAATAACTCCAGTTCCAAGGGATCCAACACCCTTTTCTGACCTCATCGGGCACTCACTGCATGACATGGGTGTGCTTACATACATGCAGGCAATACATTCATCCACTTTTTTTTTTTTTTTTTTTTTTTTTGGTCTTTTTGAGACGGGGTCTCCTTGTAGCCTCAGCTGTCCTGGAACTCACTATGTAGACCAGGCTGGCCTCAAACTCACAGAGATCCACCTGCCTCTGCCTCCCAAGTGCTGGGATTAAAGGCATACACCACCATGCCTGGCCTTTCTATATGCTTTTTTAATTTCAATCTTTGTTACTAATTCTAGCTTCTTCTAATATTACACGTGGCAGGTGGATTGTTGTGAGTTCAAGGCCAGCCTGGTGTACATAGTGAGTTCAGGTCAGCTGGGACTACAGGGAGACCCTGTCTCAAAAAGACAGAAAGAAAAAAAAAAAAACTTACTTCAGGGCTGGCTGGAGAGATGGCTCAGAGGTTAAGAACACTGGTTGTTCTTACAGAAGACCCAGGTTCGAATCCCAGCACCCATATGGCAGCTAACAACTGTCCGTAACTCCAGTCCCAGGGAATCTGACAGCCTCTTCTGTCTTCCACAGGCACTGCACGACAAGGATGCACTTACCTACATGCAAGCAATACACATAAAAAATTAAATAAAATCTTTAAAAACAAAAACCAAAAAAACTTACTTCATCAGGGCTGGAGAGATGGCTCAATGCTTAAGAGCACTGGCTGCTCTAGCAGAGGACCTAGGTTTGAGTCCCAGTACCTGCATGGTGGCTAACAACCGTCTGTTACTCCAGTTCTAGGGGAATTCAACTCTCTCCTCTGACCTCCATGGGCACTGCACGACATGGGTGCACTTACATACATGAAGGCAATACATTCATACACAAACAATAAAAATAATAAATATTAAAAAAAAACCTTACTTCATCAAAGCCAGGCATGGTGGCGCACGCCTTTAATCCAAGTGCTCAGAAGCAGAGGCAGGTGGATCTCTGTGAGTTCAAGGCCAGCCTGGTCTACATAGTGAGTTCCAGGCCAGCTGGGGCAGCAGAGAAATGCTGTCTCAAAAAGACCAAAACATATAGTAATAAATAGAATAAAATTTACTTCAACAGGTGGCATCTGAAAAAGTCACTTTAGGAGTCCAGAAGGAAAACCATACAATTCACCATTTGATGTGACAAACCCAAAGTGTACAAAAATATACCCGGGTTTCAGGTCTTCTAGTGGCCAGAGATGCAGCTCGTCTGGTAAAGTGCCTGGCTAGCATACAGTGTCCTGAGTTCGAACTTCAGCACTGCGGAAGGACACGAAAAGGCACTCTTCCAAACCCCTTTTAGAACCTGCACAACAGTGAGGCAATGAGAAGTCGGTCTTTTTCATTTCATGTTACTGTGTATCATGGACCTCCCCCCTTCCACTGATGGGAGTCTCAGCTTCCCTTCCTCTTTGACAAGGAGGATTCCTTTCAGCGCACAGCTACTTTGAAACAGTTTGGACTATAATACCAATAATTACCAAACAGAAGGCAAATATAAGCTTCTGTAAATGGCCACCCTAAGATTTTAAGAACAGAAATCTTGGGCTGGAGAGATGGCTCAGTGGTTAAGAGCACTGGCTGCTCTTGCAAAGAACCTGGGTTTGGCTACCAACACTCACTTGGCAGCTAACAACTGTCCACAACTCCAGATCCAAGGGATCTCATGCCCTCTTCTGGCCTCCTCAGGCATTGTCTGACATGGGTGCACCTACATACATGCAAGCAAAACACTCATACATATAAAACAAATAAAGTATAGAAATCCCAAACATTTTTCCCCTAGACTTAGGGTGATTGACTGCATCAACACCCCACCATTCCTGATAGAAAGCCCTTTAGAACGCTTAAATTCTGCAGATCCAACACTAAGCTGCAACTCTGCCGTCTGAGGATGGAAACGGGGCCCCCTACAGGTGGAGAGATGAGTAATCCACAATTGTGAGATCCATGAATAAGACTAGACAAGGTAGACTAAGTAGATTAACTTAGGCTTGTGTATAACTACGCCTTGTAAAAAGTAAACAGAAACATCTGAATGATGGGATCATGAGTGATTCTGGATTTGCTATGGAGACCAAGCTGGCCTCGAACTCAGAGATCCACCTGCCCCTGCCTCCTGAGCGCTGGGATTAAAGGCATGTGCCACCACGCCCAGCTGTGATTTTTAAATTCGTACATTGTCTAATATTTCCTACAATGACTAAATTGTATGTTTTTCTGTGATACTGGGGTCCAAACCCAAACCTACATGCATGCCAGGCATACTGTCCTAACACTAACATCCCAGGCCAAATTTGTGTGTGTATATGTATGTATACACACACACACACACATATTTGAAACAGGGTTTCTCTGTAGCCCCAGCTGGCCTGGAACTCACTAAGTAGACCAGACTGGCCTTGAACTCACAGAGATGTGCTGGGATGAAAGGCGTGCATCACCATGCCCAGCGGTTTTACTATTATTTTGAAAAATATTTTATTATTTCTATTTTATGTGTATGAATATAATGCCTGTATGTAGGTAGGTGTACTCATGTTGTGGAAGTCAGAAGAGGGTACAGGATCACCTGAAACTGGAGTTACAGATGATTGTTAGCTGTTGTGTGGGTGATAGGAACTGAACCCAGATCCTCTGCAAGACCAGCCAGTGCTCTTAACCACCGAGCCATCTCTCTAGCCCTGGGAAGACTTTTAAAGTATAGAAATTTTTTTTACATTGATTGATTGTGTGTGTGGGGGGGGGAGGTGAGCATGCCATGGTGTGGATGTGGAGGTCAGAGGACAACATGTGGGCATCAGTTCTCTCCTCCCACTGTTCTAGGGATCAAACTCAAGTCGTCAGTCCTGGCAGCAAGCACCTTTACTCTCAAAGCTATTTCACTGTTTTTATTTTTATTTTTTGGGGGGGGTCTTTTTGAGACAGGGTCTCCCTGTAGCCCCAGCTGTCCTGGAACTCATGATATAGACCAGGCTGGCCTTGAACTCACAGAGATCTGCCTGCCTCTGCCTCCTGAGTGCTGGGGTCAAAGGTGTGCGCCACCATGCCCGGCCTCACTGTTTTTAAGAACAGCAATCCTGATTCTCCACAGGTCCTCACTTGGCTTGTTTGCCCCCACCCCTTTCCTGCCACAAAAGAAGACTCACAGAAGATTCCTTCTGAATGGGTATCACCATTTATTTCAGTTTGCGTTAGGAAATGAACAGAGCACATTTTCTGTGGGGAGGGGGAGGGAAGAAAAGAAAGTATGTTTTTGTAGGCTTCATTTCTTCAAACACTTTATGGTTTCCAATCCTTCTTTACCCCAAAGGAGAATTCAAGTATGTTGTGTAGGGACTGGTAATACATAGTTTCCTGCTCGTGTGCTCTGTGTGGAGGTGTTTATCTGGGTGTGTAAACAAGCACACAGACTTCAACGTTTCCTGTACCCTTTTTTGCTTTGGTAAGGCCAAACCCAAAAGGACACATCATACAAATGAACCCTGGGTTGAGGACTTTATTTATCCTCATAGGATTATGGTATAGGCTTGGAATTGTCACATAGGATTTAAAAAAACAAGAAAACAAAAAACAACCCTCCCCTCCCCCAAACCCATAAGTCACATGAGTCCTGATAAACTTAAGCCATTCCATTGCTGCACCTGTTCCTTAGACGCCTAATTGAGGGCTTGTTAGAAGGACCAGACAACAGGATTCTCTTCATTTTGTTTATAATAAAAAAATTTAAAAGGGACATTTCAAAAGAAAAAAAAAAACCTGAAATTCAAATTCTGAAAATATCTTGCCTTTTTTATTAATCATGTCATCTAACACCAATTAAAAAAACAAATATGTGAATATGATATAAAAATACGATCCCAAGATTGACACTTTGTCGCAGGCACAGTTATCTCACAGAATGTATGTTGGGAGGGCCTGGGGAAAGTCTGCTTCTGTTTTCGCTTCTCTTTAAAAAATCCACAGCAGTGCAAGTAGGGGCAGAGGGAAGATTCTTTAGCAGCAAAATGTCCGAGTTCTCTAATCACAATCAAATCAACGGATATTGGATTAAAAACAAAACAAAAAAAAAAAAACAAAACAAAAGATGAGGGAGATGCTGCCCAGACCATTCGCCATCACTGAAAGACTTGCTACAAAAGCCCCGAGGTGTGACAGGCCAAGGATGTGCTTTACCACACGGGCCATCGTAAAACTCGTCCCTCAAGCTTTTGACTGTGTTTGTCACTTAAATATATGTACAGGAATCGGGCTCCTCTTCTCACTCATGTCCCTCAGATCTCTCCTGTTTGGTCACTCGGGTGGGCTCTCGGTATCTGGCCACATCCGGCTGGAGGTCTGAGCAGTAGCTCTGCACGGGAGCTGCCTCAGCCTGGCTGGAGTGGCTGCTTCCAGCAGCGGCGAGCAGGGACGGCTTAGTGATCGCTGGTCTGCTTCTCTCTCATCCATGCTTGGATCTGCTCCTTCAGCTCTGGCACTGAGGACAGAAGAAAAGAAAGGGATTAATGGCCTAGACGGGAGGGCTCTTCAGCTTGTAGTTCTACCCAAGTGGAAAGAAAAGGCCATTCACTCTGTCCATCCACAGCAGAAATGAGCAGAGTGCTTTGTGTCTTTTCCATAAAAAGAGCTTAAACTGGGTATTTTTTGGATTTGGTCAATGTCCTCCCCACACCTCTCTCTTTGGTGCTGGTACTGGGAACTAAACATGGGGTCTTACACATTAGGCAAGCAGTCTACCACTGCCACTGACTATAGGCCTAGACTCTCTACTTTTTACAAATTTCGAGACAGTGTCTCACTAAGTTGTCTAGGCTGGCCTTGAACTATCCTACCTCAACCTCCCAAGCAGCTGGGACTACAGGCCTGCAGCATGCCTGGCTTCAATCCCTTGGGGTTCTGGTGGCTCAAGGCAAGCTGTACCTCCCTACCTGGTTCCAGCATGCTCTCAGTCAGGGTCTGGCGGTTGAAGGGGTCAGTGGGGGAGTTCAGCAGGTGTCGCAAAATAATGGAGCGGTCCATGATGGTGCCAGAGGGCAGTCTCACAGGGTCAGTCATCAGGGTGTCCATCAGAGGGTCTGCAGAAACAAAATAGAGCCAACTAACTGATGATGGAGGGTAAAACTTTAAAAGAACAAAAGCAGGGGCTGGAGATATGGCTCAGTGATTAAGAACACTGCTTGTAATTGCAGAAGACCCAGGTTCGAATTCCAGCACCCACATGGCAGCTAACAACTACCCATAACTCCAGTTCCAGGGGATCCAACAGCCTCTTCTGTCCTCCGTGGGCATTGCACAACATGGGTGCACTTACCTACATGCAGGCAATACACTCATGCACATAAAATAAAAATAATAAATAAAATATGAAAAAATAAATAAATACGTGCTTTATGTTGCCTTGTGCTGTCACTACTGCTGAGAGGGGAACAGAAAGGACCTTCAAGCTACTGCTCCACCCCAGGCTGGTGACCTTTGGTTTAGAACTTCTTAGCATTCTCTGAAAGTGGGAATTCCGACTCCTTTTTACAAAGGCAGAGCTACCTTTAAAATCCTCACAGTTAACTGGTTTGAAATCATGCTAAGGATATTTTTTAATTTTTTGGTCTTTTTGAGAAAGGGTCTCCCTATAGCCCCAGCTGGCCTGGAACTCACTATGTAGACCAGGCTGACTTTGAACTCAGAGATCTGCCTGCCTCTGCCCCCTGAGTGCTGGGATTAAAGGTTTGGGCCAGGCTGGAGAGCTGGCTCAGTGGTTAAGAGCACTGACTGCTCTTGCAGAGGACCGGGGTTCGATTCCCAGCACCCACATGGCAGCTACGAACCATCCTTAACTCCAGTTCCAGGGGAATTTGAAGCCTTCTTCTGACCTCCAAGGCACTGCACGACAGGGGTGCACTCACATACATGAGGGCAATACACTCGTACACATAAAATAAAAATAATAAAGAAAAAGTTAAAGGCATGTGCCACATGCACTGGCTAGGATGACATATATATATGTATATGTATATGTAATATATACATATGTATATATGTAATTTTTTAAAAAACTTTACAACATGAGCTAAGAAAGGCACACCTTATTTCACACCTTGAGCTGTTCTCTCAAGGAACAACTATAGCAAACCACGAAGCAACAAAAGCACAGACAGGCCCTCTCAGCTTTACATACTTGGAGTTAAGTGGGGCACAGCAGCACAAGCCTTTAATCTCAGATGTTGGCGAGCTCCAGGCCAGCTTGGGCTACATAACGAGAACCCGCCTCAGCAAAACAAAAAATTCAAAGGAGTCAGCACCAGCACGTGTGGCTACTTGCCTCTGAACTCATCAGGAGCGTCGCTGTAGTCGATTTCTGCTCGGGCATTCCTGGCCACTATCTCCTCCACTTTCTCAGCGAGAAGTTTAAACTTCTCAATTGCAATGGTTGACTTGATCCCTGCCTTTCGCATCTTTGAGATGACTTCCTCAAATAGTTCCTTGCTGTAGGATCTCTGGGGATGAAGACAATGACATAAGATGTGAATACACTTGAAATAAAAAACCTTCTCAGATGTCCAAGGGGGGTCCACTTGTGGTCTTTTGTGCCTAAAAGTTATATACAATGGTATGTTCTCTATCCTAGTCCTCCTTGCAGTTGTGAGGGTGTGCTCTATGTGCTCTTTACGGTTATAAATACAGACCAGAACACACAGCAACTGCCCAAGGTCATCTATGGGAAGAGCAGTGGGGTTAAGAAAACTGGGGTGTTTTTTAACTTTGGGGGTTAGCAAGCATTTCTTTTAAAATTTAAACAGTGGAAAGATCAGGAAATTGACTTTATTTCAGGCTCTTTGGGATAGTGCACAGCCCTGGAAGTCCATAAGAGGAGGTGGAATTCCAGCTCTCTTCCATAAAGGTAAGCCTGGGTAAGCCTAAAAACCAAAATACACATATACACAAGCCAATCTTATTCCTATTTATAGGGAGCTTTGTTCTATTTATTATTATTTCTTTAAGATACTTAAGCTGGGCTTGGCAGCCATCATATTTATAATTCTACCACTCAGGAGCCTGGAACAGGAGGATGGCAAGTTCAAGGCCAGGGAAAAAAAAAAAAGTGAGACCCTGTCTCATTAAACAAGCAAGCAAGCACCACCACCCACAGCAATGTTAAATGCCAGGAATTCCACTGGCATTAAAGCACTCCAAGAAGCAGGTGAATGCGTCTTGGATCAGACACAATTTGTAACAGAAGTGGGAAGGGCGGATTAGAGTGCCCACAATGGACCCAGACAAACCTGGATGTGAATTTAAGCTCCATCGTGCCCCAGCCAGTACAGTCTGAGGCAAACCCCTCCCTCACTTGCCCAAGCCAGGTTCTTTAGGTGTAAAATGGGCCAGTAACCTACCCCCCAATCCCAACTATGTAAACATCACTGCCACCACAAGGCATCAAAGCATAGCGTGCTCTGTATTTATGGCAAAAACTGGATACTTGCTGACTTATGAAGATACTACAAATACCCAGTAGAAGAGTTCAACCTGAGACCCTGCAGCAGGACCACAATCTCTCATCATATGGAGCAACACCAAAGAACGGAGATCAAAACCAAATCGCAGTTAAGTATACATATGTCTATCTATGTCTCAGACTTTGCTCAACCTATGGCTCCACTGCTCAATGCTCTTTCCTTCCCTGATCTGTAAGACTGCACATCTGTGAGACTTAGTGAGTGTGACACAGGCAAGGAGCTAGGTGCCAGGCAAAGTGATGCCATCTTTGCCAGCAGGCCCTCCCTAACCCCCAGTATAACTGCAATGAGTCATCTGGACTGGACTTGGAGGAACTTCTGTTCTAACTTTAGAACCTGCTTCACTGCAGGGGCCTGGGCTGACACTACTGTTCACCTTGTGAACTTCTGGGCAGGGGTGGTGTGGTGGGGTGGGGGAACTTGCCATTCTTATCTGCATCCACACAGATGGACATCTTTTCAAGTAGGAACAGAAATTCCTCAATCTTTCATCTTTCCTTTTGTTGTTATTGAGGGTTTTTTTGGTCTCACTATGTAGCCCTGGCTGACCTGCAGCTTGCTATGTAGACCAGGGTGGTCTTGAACTCGAGATCTACCTGCCTCTGCCTTCTGAGTGCTGTGATAAAACGTGTGTGCAACCAATATGCCTGGACTATTTATTTATTTGGTCTTTTTCTGAGACAGGGTCTCCCTGTAGCCCCAGCTGGCCTGGGACTAACTATGTAGACCAGGCTAGCCTTGAACTCCCAGAGATCTACCTGTCTCTACCTCCTGAGTTCTGGGATTAAAAGCATGTGCCACCACAACTATTTTAATTATGTGTATGTACTTGGTCTGTGTTTGGGTTCGCGCAAGTATATGCAGTGCCCTTGGAATCCAGAAAAGGGTGTCAGATCCCCTGGAGCTGGAGTTACAGGTGGCTGTGAGCTCCTGTTGTGAGCTTCCTGTTACCTGTCTGACATGGTACTGAGAATGAGCCTGGGTCCTCTGCAAGAGCAGCATCCACTCCCGACCTCTAAGCCATCTCTCTCTCCAGCCTTTTCATGTTTTAACCTTCAGTTTCAGGGCTGGAGAGATGGTTCAGAGGTTAAGAGCACTGGCTGCTCTTGCAGAGGACCTGGTTCCCAGCATCCACATGGTGGCTCATAACCACCATACCACTTCCAGGGGGTATGATTCTTCTGGCCTCTGCAGGCATGCATGCATGTGGTACACTTAAATTCATACAGGCAAAACAATCATACACATTAAAATTTTTTTTTAAAAACTTCAGGATACATGAGACCTTGCCTCAAAAAAAAATTCTTATACTGGTGGAGATCAAACTCAGAGCTCATTCATACAGTCTAAGTACACATTCTATCTATCACTGAGCTCTATCCACAGCCCCCTTAAAAGACATTATTAAGTAGAAGGAGACAGACACAAAAGGTTAGGCATTGTCTTACTCCATTTTTAAAGTCTCCAGAATCAGGAGACAGGTAAATCCTGCAACAGGAAAAGGAAATGGACAGTCTTCCTTTTGGGTTGATGAACATGTTTTTGAACTAAACAGAAGACAATGGTGGCACAGCACTGTGCGAATGCTCATCTCACCCCTGCAAAACTCGTTCATCTGATACTACATGACCTTCACCCCGCAAAGAAAAAAAGGTGGGAAAAAATCCAAAAATTAAGCACATTAACTTTATGATGAAGGAACAATTAATCAGGAAAGAGTGAATGGGAGAGGTCTAGCTAAGATGTGTGCTTTTTTCTTTTCTAATGGAAAACAGAGTTAATAAACAATACTTCATAAAGGTTGATCCAGCACTCTGCTCTGAGAGCAGAGTCTGCCTGCAGGGACCCAGCCAGACGTGGCCACCAATGGTACTCGAGTCCCTAGAGTTCCTATATGGAGGTTTCCTTAGGTTCAGAAACCACCTGTTACATCCCCCTCCCAGTGGGGCAGAGTACAGTGGCACTGCATCTCAGCATCTTTCTGTCAACTTCCTGGACAGCTGTCTTCGGTACTCTTGGTACCCAGGGAGGGGAGGCTCTTACTGACTCTCCTCTCATTTCCCTGCCATTTTCTTCTTCTGCTGCCCCCTAGGAAAATAAGACATGTCGAAACAAAACAAGATTACCATCTCTCAAGGAGAAAATGAAACCTTTCTCTTTTTTCTTTTTTACTGATTTTTTATTTTTAGGAAATCTTTCTTTGCCTGTTATTTTTTGTTTTGAGACAGTCTTGCTATGTATTTGTCACTGACCTGGTTCTCACTGGGTAGCCGGGCTGGCCTCAAACTTGCAACTATCCTTTTGCCTACCCTCCCCTCCTGGGATTACAGGCCTGTACCACACCTGGCTGAGGGATTAATTCTACATCTGGGTGCTTCAAGCCTTACATCTTTCTACACGCACCCCCCTCCCCAAAATCTCTAAAACTGGGTTGGTTTTTTTTTGTTCTTTTTTTTTGAGAGATGGTCTCCCTGTAGCCCCAGCTGTCCTGGAACTCACTATGTAGACCAGGCTGGCCTTGAACTCACAAAGATCCGCCTGCCTCTGTCTCCCGAGTGCTGGGATTAAAGGTGTGCACTACCACACGTGGCTTAAAACTTTTTTTTTGTTTTTTTAAAAAAATTTTATTTATTTATTTTTATTGTATGTATATGCGTGTATTGCCTATATATAGGTAAGTACATCCATGTTGTGCAGTGCCTGTGGAGGTCAGAAGAGGTTGTCGGGTCCCCTGGGACTGGAGTTACGGACAGTTGTTAGCTGCCATGTGGGTGCTGGGATTCAAACCTGAGTCTTCTGCAAGAACAATCAGTGTTCTTAACCGCTGAGCCATCTCTCCAGCCCCCTTAAAACTGTTTTTTAACAAAACAAAGCAGGCAAGGCCCTAATCAACCTAGGGCCAACAGAAAGAAAATGGCTGACAACCAGCACCCCCAGCACTCTGAAAGGAAAGTGCAGGCCCCAACTAAGATGCATTTCTGCCCTTGTGTCACTGGTGTGTCCGCCTCACAGGCCTGGGAAATCACTGTCTCTGACAGGGCCAGGCCTCCTTTAGATCCACAGATGTTACCGGGCAGTGTGGACCTTCACGGGTCACCAAGGAAAGGCAGCTTGAAGGAATTCTTTGGCACCCACCTGAATCTCCCTGTCTCGCCAGCTGTGCCTGTCATCCACCCTGCACTTTATGTGCTATTAAACCACAAGTGACGTCATGCTACAGCAAGGTTTGGTGGGGAAGAGGAAGACATCTTCCAAGTCTCTCTATAGTAGAGGTGAGGAGTCCTGGCTGGACAGGAGACACCCAACTACCACGGAGCTGCAACAGCACCTTGTCCACTCTACTCCGATGGGTTTCTACCCTCCTCTCCTCACTACTTCCTCCCTTACTAAACACATGCACTATTATACAGCTGTAAGCTAGAAAAGCTGTACGAGGATTAAAATCTCCCAATAGCTACAATTTTCTAACCCCCTTATTTTCTACCACTTTTTGTGGAAAAATTGCTTTAGACAATTTTTCCCCCCTCTTCCATCACAGTCTTTTCCAAGACCACTGTCCTGGCTCTTATAAAAAGCACCTACAAGCCGGGTGTGGTGGCACACGCCTTTAATCCCAGCACTCAGGAGGCAGAGGCAGGCGGATCTCTGTGAGTTCAAGACCAGCCTGGTCTAAATAGTGAGTTCAGGTCAGCTGGGACTACAGGGAGGCCCTGTCTCACAAAGCC